GGTGGAACCAGGGATTGAACTCAGGCCCTTGCGCTTGCCAGACAAATGCTTATTCCACTGAGCCATCTCCCTGGCCCTTAACTTTTGTAGAATAATCAGAAATTATATTACACTAATATCCTAAATCAAAATATATTTAGAAAGATAAATGTACTTCTCTTTTGTTGAGATGGGTCACACTGTAGTCCAGGCTGGCCTTGAACTCACTATGTAGTCCAAAGGGCCTCAAAGTCATAGTGATCCACCTGCCTCAGCCTCCCGAGTACTGGGATTACAATAAATGTACTTCTAAAGTATAATACCCAAGGGTCTGTGAGATAGCTCAGCAGACTAAGTACATGCTTTGGCAAGTGCAGGGACCAGGGTTCAATCGCAGGACCCCCTCCCCCCCCCGCATGCTGAGCCAGTGAACAAGTCCAAGCATGGTGGCACAAACCTATAATCCCAGTACTGAAAACAGGAGGATCATCACAAGTCCAAGCTGCATAGTGAGATCCTTTACCAAATACACAAATGCAAAAAAAAAAAAAAAAAAAAAGTACAAGACTCTCAAAGACAAATAAATATACATGTCTTGAATTATATACTGTTTTCAACGACTGATCACACTACTTCATTATTTACACAATACAAATATACATGAACTATAACCATCCTCCAAAGGTTACACTACCTGATGTATCTTTGATTTTGCAGCTTCTATCAGAGTTCCACTTTCAGCTTTATTAGCTCCATCTTTATTGCTATTACCAGTCTGTAGGAGGGTGAAACAAAATTAAAATTATTACTATTATTTACCATAACTGATTTCCAGGTGAGCAGATATGAGTACCTAAGTATTTTTAAAATGCACAATCCTTCTGGGTGTGATGACACATACCTATAATCCCAGCATTCTATAATCCTGCTTCTATCCCTCCCTCCCTCTTTTCTTTTTCTTTTTTTGCAGAACTGGGGATTGAACTCAGACCCTTGCGCTTGCCAGGGAAGCGCTTATTCCACTGAGCCATCTCCCCGGCCCTCCCTCCCTCTTTTCTGCATCCTCTTGCTTCAGCCTCCTGAGTACACAGTGGGATTACACCACCATGCCAGACTCAGACTGTTTTTAAAACCCAGAACAGTGTCTATCTGCAAGCACAAGGTCCTGAGTTGGATTCCCAGTGCCAAAAACAACTACAGAAACTTTCCCTGCTAAAAACATCAACAAATCTCAACTCCCTACAAAGCAGTCCACATTCTTCAAGCTATGGCCCCAACTCATGTTGCAGTCTGCATCTCTGCTTTCCATTACTTAAGTCCTGCTCATTTCACTACCAGAAAGGTCTTCAGCACTCCAAATGCTTCTACCTTTTTGTTGTTTTCTTCAATAGCACTGTCATCCCACTTTAGTGTTCTTTTTTTAATTTGTGGGACTATTCCAGGCCCAAATCAAATAGCCAAACTCCTCTGAACCTCCTTCCTCCATGTCCACAAGCTAATAACCTAACTTTCCATCCAAGATCCTGAAAATAAGAACTTCAATGTGTCCATTTTTGTCATTTTAGTATCCAGGACAGCATACAAACATCTGAACTAAATTATACTTTAGCAAATATTCCAAGTGTTGAATTATAAATACTAGTTTACTATATAACATGTAAGAATAATGTTGATTACTTAACTAAAATTACTCAGTCCCTTTTATATGCATATTTGCTAAGGTGAAAAAGTAAAATATGTTAGATGTTAACTTATTTTTAACATCAAGAATTTATATAGGGGCTAGGGAGATGGCTCAGTAGAATAAGCACTTGCCTGGCAAGCACAAGGTCCTGAGTTCAATCCCCAGTTTGCAAAAAAAAATTTTACATAGAAAGGTACTAACAATCTTTCTTGCAAACATCTCTTCTCTAAAACAAAAGGGCAATTAATAAAAACCAAAAAGCGCAGAAACAAACAAAAAATTCCCATACAACCAGAAACACAAAAGAAAGAAAATATGAGATCCAAGATGTGTTCTTTAGGGGCAAGTAGATAGCTCAGTGGCATTAAGTGCCTGCCTGGCAAGTGCAAGGTCTTGAGTTTGATCTTTGGTACCCCCCAAAAAAAGAGAGATGTGTTCTTTAGATGTACCATGTCTCTTAGTAGAAAATAAAGCAGAATGGTTAATCTTCATGAATGTATGAAGAACTTTAACGATAAAACTTTCCCAATGAAAACAACACTGTGTATCCAGATTATGGTTCTTTTTTTTTTAAATTTATTTATTTATTTGTGTGTGGCCAGCTCAGCCCACCAGGGGGCGGGGCTGGCTGGCACGTGGTGCTGGGGGATTGAACCGCAGTCCCTGTGCTTTGCTTAGCTTAGCTTGTTCTAAGTAGGTGCTTTAGATCACTGAGCCATCTCACCAGCCCTCTCTTTTTTCTTTTTTAGAACTGGGGTCTTGTTGTACTTCCCAGGCTGTCCTAAGCTACCCAGGCTCATGCAAATCTTCTATCTCAGTCTCCCAAGTAGACTGGATTACAGGTGCATGCTACCACACCTAGCTAGATTATGGGTTTATCTTAATGACAATTTCCACTTTTTTTTTTTTTTTTTTTTTTTTTTTGGTGGAACCGGGGATTGAACTCAGGCCCTTGTGCTTGCCAGGGAAGCGCTTATTCCACTGAGCCATCTCCCCGTTTTGGTTTTTTTTTTTAATGTATTTGGTTGTTACAGGGTCTCATTATATAGCTCAGATTTGTGGTGATCCTCCTGCTTTCAGGCTCCCCACAGCTGGGATTACAGTTGTGTGCCACCATGCCCAGACTTTGGCCAGCTCAGCCCACCCTGGGGGTGGGGCTGGCACAGCATGTGGTACCAGGACCTAACTATGGTCCCTGCACTTGCCTAAGCAGGTTTTTTAGTCTGCTGAACTATCTTGTTAGTCCTACAACTTTCACATTCTGTAAAAACATTTTTTTTTTGGCAGAACCAGGGATCAAACTCAGACCCTTGTGCTTGCCAAGTAAGTGCTTATTCTACTGAGCCATCTCCCCGGCCCTTGTAAAAACATTTCTTACATGATAAGATGCTCAGTGTATATCCTTAGTCATTATGGAAATATAAGTCAGTAGTAGAACAAGATACCCCAAGTCCCAAACCTGTAAAATGGGTAAAATTTTTTATAAAACAGTATGAAAAAATTCCTGTACTCTTCTGTTGGGAATGTAAAACAATGCAGCCACTTTGCCAGGCAGATAGCTCAGGGGCCAGAGAGATAGCTCAGTAGAATAAGCGCTTGCCTGGCAAGCGCAAGGGCCTGAGTTCAACCCCCGGTTCCGCAAAAAAAAAAAAAAAAAAAAGGATTAAAGATCTAGTTATTCCACTCCTAAATATATACTCCAAAGGGCTGGAAACATGCCCACATAAAAGACTGTACATCAAAGTTGGCCATTAAAAGAAACATTTTAATAGCAAAAAAACCCCCAAAAACTGATGAATTATTTTTTTAAAATGTATTTAGTATAGGTAGAATTTTTATTTTCACTTTTTATTTATTTTTGTATTTAGCATACACTGGACTTGTAGTGATCCGCCTGTTTATAGCCTCCCAAACGCTGGGATTATAGGCATGCACCACCACGGCAGGCCTAAGGATCAAACTCCTGGCCCTTGGGTCTGCTTAAGCAGGAGCTTTAATCCGCTATTTGGCCAGCCCTAGGGAGAATTTTTAAACAGTGTGGTGTATTCAATACAATGAGTTAAACAGTATTCCTCCATAAGAGGGATAAAGTACATGAAAAAAGGACTGAGTACATGGCACAACGCTGAGGAATATTGAAAGCAGGACAGTAAGTGAAAGACGGCAGTCATGAAAGGCCATGTATTGCCAGGCATGGGGGTGCGCCCCTGTAATCCCAGCTCTTAAGAGGGTGATGCAGGATTACCATGAGCTTGAGGCCAGCCTAAATACAGTGAGTTCCTACCTCAACAACAACAATGACAACAACAAAAGGCCACGCATTAGAGGACTCCATTTTGATATAATGGTCAGTACTGGGCAAATTTGCTCAGAGGTAAACAGATTAGTAGCTGCCAGGGGTGGGAAGAGGAATGGAGAGTGACTGACAATAAATACAGGATTTCTTTTTGAAGTGATACAAGTGCTGTGGAGTTACATAGTGAAAACGGATGTACAACTGAGTACACACACACACCAAAAAACCCCCCTCCAAAGCTGTACATGTTTTTTGAGACAGGGCAGGGTTTTGCTAGGCAGTCTAGTCTGGTCTTGAACTCAGGTGATCTTCAGGCAGGTGATCCTCCTGCCTCAACCTCCTAAATGCTGGGTTTACAGGCATTCACTACCATGTGTAGTAGATTGAAAATGGAAGCTTACTAGGTTTGGACAAAGGCAAACTAAAAAAGTAATAGTTTATGTGAATTATACTACAATAAAATCAAGATTTCATGGTCACAAATATTAATCATACTTTTAAATTTTAGTTTTATTATCTCGGAACACTTACCTCATTCTTTCCATTTTTGTTATTGTTACCCTGTGAAATCATTTTTTCTAGGACAGCTAGAAGATGCAAAGCTTTCTCAGCTTGGTAGGTTAAGATGTACACATCTACAAGCAAAAAACACACCGCCTGGGCAAATTTTTCTTCTGGCAAAGAGAAAAAAAATAATTACCACCCAAAGTAAAGCATGTATGTCAGATTTTATGCCACAAAAGCATACAAAGCTCTAAAAAGCAAAACCTAAATCTTTACACAAATGAAAGCTTATCACCTAGAGCCACAAATAAAAGTAATGTGCTATGCTAACAACATCATGTGATGAAGCATCTCAAGGTCTCTATCAGAGATTCAATGACTGACTCTTCTTTAGTAAAATATTAACACCAGCACTCATAATAAAGAATATTACTTTTAATTTATTTTTACTTTGTATGTATTTGATACAGAGTCTCACTATGCGGCTTGGACTTGTAGTGATTCTTGTGTTTTCAGCCTCCCCAGCTCTGGGAATACAGGACGGCATCCTCAGGCCTGGTCTTGGTGGCCAGCTCAGCATGCTCAGGGGCGGGGCCAGTGGGCATGTGGTGCCAGGATCAATCTTGCATCCTTGCACTTGCCTAAGCAGGCGCTTAGTCTGCTGAGCTATCTTGCCAACCCAAGAATATTTCTTTTTTTTTTTTTTAAATTTTTTTTTTTTATTTTTGAGAGAGAGAGAGAGAGAGAGAGAGAGAGAGAGAGAGAGAGTGTGTGGTGTGTGTGTGTGGCCAGCTCAGCCCACCAGGGGGTGGGGCTGGCTGGCATGTGGTGCTGGGGGATCGAACCATGGTCCCTGATGCTTTGCCAAGCTTGTTCTAAGTAGGTGCTCTAGACCACTGAGCCATCTCTCCAGCCCCAAGAATATTTCTTTATACAGAGAGAAACCTGGATTTAGTACATGATCTGCTACTTACTAAATGTGTGATCTTTATACAACATTTAACGTTTTTAAGACAAGGTTTGTTAATGTAGTTCAGGCTGGCCTTCAACTCATTATGTAGCTTAGGCTGGTATGGTGATCTTCCTGCTTCAGTCTCCTCAGTGCAGGGACTGCAGGCAGGCAAATCATACTCACATTCATTTAATTCTTTAGAAATCAGTTAGCTGACCTGAGAAATGGGAGAACACAAACCTGTATTTGCCTTAAGGCAGAAATCTCTTGAAGTTTCTTCTAACTCTGAAAAGGTCTATGACTTTAAGGAATAAATTTTCTTTCCAGGTAAAGCAAAAAAGGCAAAGTGTGGACTGAAGTATATCAGAAAACTAAAACTAACAAGAGGAAAATACAAAGGAGGCCTTCAAAGGATGAAGAGCCCAAACAGAAAGTAAAAGTACCTTTGAGTGACATAAAACTTCACTTCCAAAAAAGAAGACAAGAGGAAATTTAAAGGAAAAGTTTTAAAAGGCAGGGATTATAATCAAGATCAGAAAATTCCATGGAACCCATTTAAAATGAACTCTCCTGGGGCTGGGGAGACAGCTCAGTAGAATAAGTGCTTGCCTTACAAGCACAAGGGCCTGAGTTCAAGCCTCAGTTCTGCCAAAAACACAAAACAAAACAGCAACCAACCAACCAACCAAATAAAATGAACTCGCCAAGAGCTTCTGACCATACAAGATATTCAGTCCTTACCTAGGTTACAGTATTTCCCCAGTTCTGCCCCTAAATGCTTCCAACTTTGCCTCCTATAGTTTTCCCTACCAGTTAAGTCATGACAGCCTCTTTCTTGGCTGCTGCTCTTGCCAAACACTGCTGCCCACCTCAGGTCCTTGCCATCAACCACAATCCTCAGCTGAAAATGATTTCCTCCTAAAGGATTATATGATTTTCTCCCTTCTTTATTCAAATTGCATTTTCTTTTTCTTTAATTTTTGTTTCTTTTTAAAGTTTTCTCTTTCTTTTTTTTTTTAAGTTTCATTTTTCTGTAACAGTACTTGAGGTTGAACCCAGAGAGAACTTAGCAACATCCCAGCTCTGTCTCAGTAAATTGTTCAGGTTGGGCTCAAACTTTTGAGCCTTCTGCCTTAGTCTTATACTAGCTGTGATTACAGGTATGTGCCATCATGGCCAGGTAGCCACATCTCTGTTTAAATAGTGACACATCCCAGGCCTTATTTATCATACTAGTCAATCTCTAGCCTCTCAAATAATTTTAGCTTTCACAGTATTTCACAAAGTATTATTGTGTTGTTTTTTTTTTTTGCCATTAGAATATATGCTTAATGAAGGTAAAGAATTTATTTTGTTCTCTGCAATATCACCAGATCCCTGCACTGGTCCTTGTGCATAATAAATACTGTTTAATGAAAAAGTAGAATAGGTATGATTCCAACTTGTTCTGGAAAAGGCAAAACTACAAAGATAAAATAAACAAACAATGTGAAGAAAGCAAGTTAAATGTGAAGAAAGCAAGTAAATAGAACATAAAGAATTTTTAGGGCAATGAAAACACTCAGTGTATAATAATACAAAGGACATATATCATAACCCACAGGATGTACCCCACCAGGAGTGAACCCTGATGTGAGGTATGGCCTTCGTGTGATTATGAAATAGCAACACCATGCACCTATGATAACCAGCATATTGATATACATTTATCAAAACGGGAGAGACTGTAAATGAGGGAGATTACTGTTGGGGATGCAGCACATGGGGGAATCTCTGTACCTTTCAATTTTGCTATGAACCTAAAACTACTTTTTTTTGCGGTACTGGGGATTGAACTCAGGATCCAGCACTATCTCCCTGGCCCCTCTTAAAACTACTTTTATAAAGATAAAATCTTTTAAAAGACGCAAACTAGTCAGAGTTAGAAAAATAACCATAACAATCTTCAAAAGATAAGAAAAATCAAACCAATTTGAATACTATTGATTGTTATATCCTGTTCAGCCACTGTACAAATAAACAGGGTCATATGAGCTGTTTGGGAAATTCGAAAAGCATAAACAACAGTACCTTTATAAAAAAACAAGTGGGAAAAAAAAAGTGGGACACAATTCTGACTGCAAGCTACACAGAAGGAAGGAGTTACTAATTATGCAGTGCCTTACTAACATCTTTCTTGCCTGGTTTGTTCAACCATCAGGCCCTCAAGGATGAGGGAAAGAATAGAAGAGCCTCAAAATGGCTTACTGGAATCAGCTCTCAGCAATAAAGGATCCTAAACTCTTCCCAGAGAATCGCAGGAGTGCCACCACGCCCCACCACTTGTCCTGTGGTAGGCACACAGCAATCAGGTAGTCACTGATTTGAAATCCCTATTATTATTATTTTAATGTATTTGGTTGTTACAGGGTCTCCCTATACAGCTCTGACTCATGGTAATCCTCCTGCTCTCAGGTTTCCCAGTGCTGGGATTACAGGTGTGCGCCACTATGCTTGGACTCTGGATGGCTTAGCCCACCCTGGGGGCAGGGCTGGTACAGCATGTGATGACTGGGATTGAATTGCCATCCCTGTGCTTGTCTAAGAGAGCACTCAGTCCACTGAGCTATCTCGCTGTGCCCTCCTATTAATTTTTAAAATCTATTTATTTATTTGGTACATGGCATGCAGTGCTGGGGTTCAAACCTGGGTGCTTGCACTTGCGAGGTGGGTACTTAGACCACCAAGCTATCTCCTCAGACACTCCTCCTACTAATTTTTGAAAGAAAGGAACCATGTTGAAGACAAAATGCCCATCATAAATGGACTACCTAGAGGCTAGATACCAACAGTTCCTGTCACCAACCCCTCATGGCTTCAGCTTTCCCTCTGCTGCTTCATTGGCTCCTTTTCAAATTTGCCCCTACCTTTCTCACTACTACTTTTTTTTTTTCCTTTCTGTAGTATGATCACTACATAGATCGGACTCATAGTGATTCTGTTTTCAGCCTTCCAAGTGTTGGGATTACAGGTGCGTGCCATCATGCCCAGTCTCAATCCCATCTCAGTGCACCCCAGGGGCAGGGCCGGCACAACACACCGGGAATCAACCCCAGCCGCTGCACTCTGCCTAAGCAGGTGCTTTAGTCTGCTGAGCTATCAGGCTGGCCTCTCACTATTTCTACTTGAGATCAGCAACAGTAAGTTAGATAATAAAGAAGCTCACATCGTTCTGGACTATCTTCTCTAAAGTTATCTACTGTAATTTCAGTTAGGCAACAGATGAAAATCATTGTCCTATACTGCCATCTAACATTCCAAAATTCTTTTGGAATTTTGAAGTTAAGAAAGAATCCAGCTCACCAAGGTAATACTTAAGCAGGAAAGAAAAATCAGTAAGTTCTTCCAACATTATTCCTAGCAGTAATCTTCAAAAAATTAGATAGGAAGAGGTGCTAAAAGAAAACTTGGATTAACCTAAATGTCATAACTTCTGTCTCTTCTAACCATTAAGAAAGATGGTGCAGGGCCCGGGAGATGGCTCAGTGGAATAAGCACTTCCCTGACAAGTACAAGGGCCTGAGTTCAATCCCCGGTTCCACCAAAAGAAAAAAAAAAAAAGAAAAAAGATGGTGTAGGGACGGCAAGATAGCTCAGTGGACTAAGTGCCTGCTAAGGCAAGTGCAGGGTTTCAATCCCCAGCATTGCATGCTGTGCCGGCCCTGCCCCTAGGCATGGTGAGCCAGCCATCGAGTCCAGGCATGGTGATGCACACTTGTAATCCTGAGCTGGGGAGGCTGAAAACAGGAGGATCACTACAAATCTGAGCTGCACAGTGAGTGAGACCCTGTACCAAATACATTAAAAAAGAAAGAACAAAAGATGGCATAATTTTGCTTACTCTTTTATGAATTTAGGACAGGGTGTACAGGGTGTACACTGTCTCACTATGTAGACTGGACTCATAGTGATCCTCCTGTTTTCAGCCTCCTAACTACTGGGATTACAGGCGCTTTACTCTGCTGAGCTATCTAGCCAGCTCTTTATTTTCTTTTCTTTTTCTTTTTTTTTTTTTAAATATAATATATTTTTTTTAATATTTATTTAATCTTTTTTTTGTGTGTGTGTGTGGCCAGCTCTGCCCACCAGGGGGTGGGGTTGGTTGGTATGTGGTGCGGAGGATTGAATCGCGGTCCCTGTGCTTTGCCAAGCTTGTTTCAAGTAGGTGCTTTAGGCCACTGAGCCATCTCTCCAGCCCCCTTTATTTTATTTTCATAGCTTTGTTTTTCCTTTAAATACTGACACGTAGTTTTCTGTTTGGGTTATTTAGGTAAGTGTACCACAGCTGTGCATGGTGATGTACCTGTATTGCCAGCACTGGGGAGGCTGAGGCAGAAGGATCACTGAGTTTTTGGCCAGCCTGGGCTACAAAATGAGTTCAAAGTCAGCCTGAACTGCATAGCAAAAACTCTATCTCAAAAAGAAAAGAAAAAAGTACCAGAGAATTTTCCCAGTACAAGCATATAAGGAAATTTTGGACTTTACAACAAATAACATACCAAAAGGTTCTATGAACTGATAAAGTTTTTCACCAACTGCTATTGCTTCTGTATACTGCCGCAGATGATAGAGAATGACTGCTTGATTATAGTATAACATGCTGTTTTCAACATCATCTAATCCATCCATTTCTTCAACAGCTGAGTGGACCTATAAAACAATCAGTGGACAGAATGTGTTCTAACAACAGTAAGGTAATGAAGGGCAAAAGTAAAAGAATTCATATGAATAAACAGGGACACTTGCTAACATTTTTCTTTTGAGTCATTGGGGTTTGAGCCCAACGCCTAATGCATGCTAGGGAACTGCTCTACCACTGGGCTACTTTTCCAGTCCAGGGCAGTATTTCTTTCTCTTTTTTCTTTGAAGAGGGTCTCTTTCCATAGTTCACGCTGGTCTCAAACTCACAGTGATTTTCCCTATCCTCACCCCCCAGGTGCTGAGAGCTGGGATTTCAGGCATGTGCCATCACTCCAGGAGAGGCTAACATTTCTTACTGGAATTTAAAAACACTTTTTTTTTTTTTTTTTTTTTGGTGGAACCAGGGATTGAACTCAGGCCTTTGTGCTTGCCAGGCAAGTGCTTGTTCTACTGAGCCATCTCCCTGGTCCCACAGAATCACTTTCAATAGCACAATTAAGATTTTAATTATCGGGCTGGAGAGATGGCTTAGAAGAATAAGCGCTTCCCTGGCAAGCACAAGGGCCTGAGTTCAATCCCTGGTTCCGCAAAAAAAAGATTTTAATTATCGTTATATACAGAAGTTTTTTTTTTTTTTTTTTCCCATTTACTTGTTCTCTCCAGACTATAGTTAGTTCTGTTCAGTAAAACACTTTGGCAGGACTTTAGGAAGAACCTAGTACAAAGCAAAGCACTTCATTTCACTGCCACAGTGAAGAGTTTCTTCTCTGTTTTGCTTTCCAACACTGTTTCTGAGTGGGAGTCCTACATTTTAGCCTCATGAGTCACAAAAGGCTATGTGTGGAGTTGGCAAAACTCAAAATGACTTTTCCCATTAAAATGTCATGCAAACCAGGTGTGGTGGCACATGCCTGCAATCACAGTACTATGGGAAGCGACAGCAGGAGGATCACAAGTACCAGCCCAGTCTAGGAAAATCAGCAAAACTCTCAAAATTAAAATGAGCTGAGAATGTAGATCAGTAAAAGGCCCTGGGTTCAATCCCTAGTACCCCTTCTACCCAAGAAAGTGTGCCTAATTTACTAATTATAAAAACATACAATTTAAACATTAAAACCCATAGTGGCGGGGCATGGTAGTACACAACTGTAATCGCAACAGATGAGGTAAAAGGACTGCTTCAAGTTCGAGGCCAACCTTAACCACATACACAAAAATCTAGCTGGGTGTAGTGATGCAAGCTTGTAATTCCAGCTACTCTGGAGGCCAAGACAGGAGAATTATAAATTAGAGACCATGATGGGCAGTTTATTGATTTTGACTCAAAATAAAAAATTAAATGGGCTGGGATATAGCTGCACCATACAGTGTTTACCTACACATGTAGCACACTGATCTCAATCCCTCATACAAAAAAAAAAAGTATCTTTATTTTCATTTTAATTTTTTGGGGGGTACCGGGGATTGAACTCGGGACCTTGAACTTTCCAGGCAGAAGAAAGTGTCTTTAAACAGAAATCCCATTTCCAAAGAAAGACTTCTGTTCTTGTAGTTACATAAGGGAGAGATAATAAAAAAATGATTTTTAGCCAGAAAAGATGAGGTAGGCGGTTAGATAAGGTACTCTGGATTCAGAATGAATTAACTTACGTTGTGAATAATTTTACATTTTCTTTTCTGTGCTGCTGGGAATCAAACCCACAGGCTCAGGCATGCTAGGTAAGCATTCTACCACTGACCTATATCTCCAGCCCATTTTGCCACATTTTCTATAATTGTCAAAATAATAATTGCTCCAGCCAGAACAGTGTTGAGAATGGAGGGCTGGGGAGATAGGTCAGTGGTGTAAGCACCTACCTGCCTGGCAAGAGCAAGGTCCTGAGTCTGATCACTGGCACAAAAATAAAACAAAACAGAACAAACAAAAAACAAATAAAAAAACAAAAAGCAAAACAGAGCAAGGAATATAGTTATATATCTTTTGGGCCAGGGATATAGTTCAGTGGCACAAACGCCCACTTGGCAAGAGCAAGGTCCTGAGTTTGATTCCCACTAAAAAAAAAAAAAAAAAAGAGTGGGGATAGCTTGGTAAGGTATGTCCACAATATGACGGTAAACAGAAAAAACAGCCAGGTATGTCCACGACATGATGGTGAACAGAAAAAAGAGCCAAGAGACACACAAACACTGTAGGAAACTCAAAATTTCAAGGAACTGAGCCAACTTTAGTAAGAATAAATATTGGAGAAAGAATGTAAAAAAGCACTTTCTTGGCTTAACTGGAATTTTTTTTTTTTTTTGTGGAACTAGGGATTGAACTCAGGCCCTTGCACTTGCCAGGCAAGTGCTTATTCTACTGAGTTACCTCTCAGACCCCCTTAACAGGAAATCTGCAGAAGCCTCTGATCAAAAGCTAAACAAATTTGTCCTAAAAGAAACTGTGGGGTCATAAGCCACATGGACTAGATAATCAGCAAACATCTTTCCTTCAATTCCAAAATTAAGAGTCAAGGGTAATAATATGGGAGAAATGATGAAATATGATGTACAAATTTAAGGCTGAGTATAACAGACTCAAGGGTCAGCCTGGTAAGTCAAACCCTGCTCCTTCCTGTATCAGGATATAAATTTAAAACATTAGACTTCTTAAATCCTACTTTTTAAAAAAATTTTATTTGTGTGCGTGTGTGTGTGTGTGTGTGTGTGTGTGTGGCCAGCTCAGCCCACCAGAGGGCAGGGGCTGGCTGGCATGTAGTGCTGGGGGATTGAACCGTGGTCCCTGTGCTTTGCTAAGCTTGTTCTAAGTAGGTGCTTTAGACCACTGAGCCATCTCACCAGCCCCCTTAAACCCTACTTTTAAAACTGAAATCACAAGCTAGGCATGGTAACATGCACCTGTAACCCCACAACTATGGTGGCTGAGGCAGAAGGGTCGTGAGCTTGAGCTCAGCTTGGGCAACTCAGTGATGTACTGAGACCCCGTCTCAAATTTTGAAAATTAAAACGGCTAGGACATAGTTCATTGGGAAGGCCTTTGGCTCAATTCTCATTACATCAACAAGCAAAAACAAGCTCAAAACAAATAAACCAACCCCAAAAACAAAACTAAAAAACAAAAGTAACCAAACCAAACCTCCAAAAGCCTAAATAAACCTGAATTAGCAAATACTTGTGTCAAGGGTTGAAAGTTAGAATTTCATGAGATAAAGGATAAAAAAAAAAAAACACTTAAAGAATTTGGTTATCAAGTAGGCATTCAATAAATGTTGGTTATTACCATTTTGTTGAATTTTTAAAGGGTTTAAAAATTAGTTCTATAAAGAATTATGAAGAACCTGAAGGGATCACTCCATCACTAACTCCTTCCTTCCTTCCTTTTTTAATGTATTTGGTTGTTACAGGGTCTCACTACACAGCTTGGACTCAGCGATCCTCCTGTTTTCAGCCTCCCCAATGCTGGGATTATAGGTATACACCACTATGCCTGGATTCTGTGACAGCTCAGCCCACCCCACCTAAGCTTGCCTAAGCAGGTGCTTTAGTCTGCTGAGCTATCTTGCTGGCTGAGATCACTTATTTCTTTCTTTCTTTTTTCTTTCTTTCTTTTTTTTTTTTTTTTTTGTCCAGTGGAATTGGGGATTGAACTCAGGCCCTTGCACTTGCCAGGGAAGTGCTTATTCCACTGAGCCATCTCCCTGGCCCCTGAGATCACTTATTTCTAACTCTACCTTGTTCTAGGGTGGTAGTAGGTACAGTAATAAGGTAATTTTGACTATAGGTCAAGGGCCCAGAAGGGTCTCCGGAACCCCTACAGCATGAAGCAGTAACTAAAAGTGCTAGCTCTAAAGCCAAACAGAACTGGGTTTATGTCACTCTTGCTACTTGAGCTTTGTATCTGAACAATTTACATACTATTTGTTCTTCAAGATTTCCCACATATAACATGAGAAAAATTATAGTAGTTGCTTTGTGGGTCTTCTAAGATGTTGTATGCAGGTTCTATTGGTCCTGTGACACAGTGGCAATTTCAGGTGCTAGGTGATCTGAAGGGTTCCATCTGTCTTAGCCCTCTCCAACATAAAAGATATAGCCCTGTGACGTGAGAAACATGGCTGTTCTGAACACAGTAAAATGATAACCAATCTGAGTCACAAATTAGGTATAAAGTACATTATCTTCTATTTAATTAACTATCTCACAGCCTAAAATGCTAAAACTTGGCAGGATTACCAACAATCAAGATATTACCAGATACGCATAAACAAGGTCTATCTCAGCAGCTCAGATTCTTCATATACTTCCATTCAAATGTATAAAACTCCAAAGTTAATTCAAATCTGGTATGGTCTATTCTGTTCAAGATAATGAAAAACCCAATAGGAAAAAACCACACACATATATACAACATACCTTTCATTTCTGGGAATAATGATTTTTATACAAACAAAATTAGTATCAACAGTTCAGATAGATTAGAAATTGTGTCACCAACAAACAAGATCACATTTACTTTCCTTAGCTATTTGTCTTTCACAAATTAACATAACAATGTTTTATAGTTAAATTCATTTGTGTATCACCTGATTCTTCAGCTGGTTAAGTGTTTGTCTCAAATTATCTGTTGTTGTTTGGTTACTTTTAAAAAACTCAGCTACTGCTGTATTCAAAATTATTTTATAATCATCTTTGTTTATATCTTGTAGACAGGCAAGGTGTTGAAGACAGGCATCATAATTTCCAGACTAAAAAAAACAAAAACAAAAACCACACATGCACACACAAAATTACATGCCAGCTTTAAGAACAACACATCATTTCCTAATAACGTCACTTATCTTTACTTTGAAAATTCTTAAAAAGATAGTTCCCCAAATATACTAACTGAAGTCAGTAGATAAAGCAATATTCATATCAATTAAAAGTGTGGATATTTACTTTCTAATACTGTCATCGACACATATAACATATATGTAGATATAACAGATATACTGGTATATGTGTACATATATTGCTAGCAGAGTGTAAATAGCACAAACTAGCTATTTTCATTTCTGGTAAATATACTTTGAATATGCAAGAATCAAATTCTTTCACTTACATGTATATATCCTGGTAATCAAATATAACTTTTTTTCATATAATTTAATGTCAGAAAAGTTAAAATTCTGACAAACTTTTGGGGCTCCACTTTATAGTACATTTAAGACGAAGAATTGAACAGAATAGTGAAATGGAAAGACTAACCCACAAATCTAAATTTAAAAGACTTAGAAACTAACAGTGTAAGAGTTAAAACATTTATGAAAACATAAAAACTTGAGACTGGCTAAAATTATTTTTATTTCTTTTACCATATTTAAACTCTAAAATGCTTTATTTTAAAATGAAATCTACTTCTCTATAACCTTAACTCATGAATTAGTAGAGGACCAAAATTATACATTTAAAAATTCAAGTGAAAAAATCCCATACTATAGAATCCTAATGTGAGTAAACTTGAGAGAGACCGTTTCTTACTGTGAAGGCTTGGGCAGCGCTGGTGGACAGCTCCTTCTCCTGGTCAGTGATCCCGGAGGGCTGACCAGTCCCTTCATGTTTTTCTGCTCCCTGATCTGCAAACACACAAGTTTTACAGTTCTTTAGAAATGAAAGTGGTGGGCTGGTGACATAGCTTAGCGTCAGAGTGCCTACCTGGCAAGCAGGTCTTGAGTTTGATTCCTGGTATTAAAAAAAAGAAGAAAAGAGAAAAAAAGAAGGAAGGACGGACATTGTTTGTCACAATTTCAATCTCAATCTCTCTCCCTCCCATGCTCTATCTTGCTCTGCTGTGCCCAAAGTCCCTCCTGCACTCTAAGCACATGCTCTTACACACCCTCAGCTCCTACTTCTCATTGTTCTAATGAAATTGCCAAAGTTAGAGTTCTCTTAACACTTGCTAATCAGTGCTAAAAGTAATGACCGGGACTGGAGAGATGGCTCAGTGGTCTAAAGCACCTGCTTGGAACAAGCTTGGCTAAAGCATAGGGACGGCGGTTCGATCCCCCAGCACCACATGCCAGCCAGCCCTGCCCCCTGGTGGGCTGAGCTGGACACACACACACACACACACACACACACACTAAATAAATGTTAAAAAAAATAAATAAAAGTAATGACCACTCCTCTGAAAGCCTCCTATCTTTCCATGGCCCTTTTTATTTATTTATACTGAACCCAGGCCCATTCATTCATTTATTTATGAGACAGGGTTTCACTATGCAATTCAGGTCGGCCTCCAACCTATGGCAGCTTTCCTGCTTTGGCCTCCTAGGATCTCAGGTATGGGCCAACACACCCAAACTTTCTTATTTTCAAGACAAGGTCTACTAGGTAGCTCAAACTTGTAATTCTCCTGTTTCAACTCCTAGAGTGTTAGGGATACAGGTATGAGCCACCATGCCTCATCTTTTATTTGAGCCTGGGTCTTGCTAAATTGCCTAGGTTAGGCCTGAACTTGTGATCCTTTTGGCCTGTCCTTTACTGGGTATCTTTGAAATATGAGTTCCCGTTTCCCTTTTGCCTAGGCAGAATTCTGTTACATTTAAAAATATATACTTATGTTTGCCCTTAAACATACACATTAATGAGGTAATATTAAGGGGCCAGGGAGATGGCTCAGTGGAATAAGCACTTCCCTGGCAAGCACAAGGGCCTGAGTTCAATCCTCGGTTCCACCAAAACCAAAACAAAACAAAACAAAACAAAAAAACCAAAACAAAACAGGTTTTGGGCCAGGGAGATAGCTCAGTAGAATAAGTGCTTCCCTGGCAAGCGTACGGGTATGAGTTCAATCCCCGGTTCTGCCAAAAAAAAAAAAAAAGAAAAATGATGTAATATTAGAATTCCCATGACTTGGTCATGGAACAGCTCCTTATATCACTATAAAACTGCTAGAAGAATGTGCACCCTTAAGAATAATCATGTATACTAAGAACATAATGTAACTTGGGGGCAGGCAAGATAGCTCAGTGGATTAAAGCACCTGCTTAGGCAAGCTTACTTAAGTGCAGGGACCTTGGTTCGATCCCCATGCTGTGCCAGCCCTGCCTCTCAGGGTGGGGTAAGCCAGCCACAGAGTCCAATGCGGTGGCACAAGCCTGTAATCCCAACACTGGGGTGGCTGAAAACAGGAGGATCTCTGTGAGTCTGAGCTGTGTAGCGAGACTTTGTAAAAACCAAATACATTAAAAAAAAGAAGAAAGAACATAATGTAGGCCGGGGAGATAGCTCAGTTGAATAAGCATGTGACTGGAAAGCCCAAGGACCTGAGTTCAATCCCCAGTTCCCGTCAAAAGAAAGAACATAATGTAATTTGTATTTCTGAGAATTTACTTAAGATTTATCTAAGAGAAAAGCCACTGTGGGGCTAGGCCTTTATTTCAGTGGTACAGCATGCACTTAGCAAGCCATGAGGCCCAGTTTTACTCCCCAGGACCAAGGGAAAAAAGACATTCTAGCACTTGGGCTCTGAGAAATGTTACTTTTTTTTTTTGGTACTGGGGATCAAACTCAGGACCTCGTGCTTACCAGGCAGGAGCTTATACCACTAAACTATCTCCCCTGCCGAGAAATGTTACTTCTGATCATTAGGTCAACAGATAAATTAATATTTCTGCTCTTCAGCACAAAGAAGCTCTAATACAGACAACAAAAATTAATAGTTTAATACGGAAAGTTCACCAGTTTAAAAAGTGTTACACAGATTGAACACAGGGCCCAGTGGAATAAGTGCTTCCCTGGCAAGGGCAAGGCCTTAGTCCAATCCCCGGTTCCTCAAAAAAAAAAAAAAAAAAA